TTTTTTTTTTTTTTTTTTTACATGAAAAGTTTTTATAATTACTAATTAATTTTGATAATTACTCCAGTAAAGTATAGATAGCCGAAATTTCTACTTACGTAAAGTAACAAAATATTTGTACTTGTTACCTATGCTTAGGACTTTAATTCTGACACAGGCACTTACATTTACTACCTTTTTTACTTAGGTTATGAACTTTTTATCTTAAGTATTTTAACTTTTTTACTTAGCATTTTACATTTTTAACATAGCTTTTTAGCTTTTTCTTTTAACTTGACTCAACTGTTTTCAATTCAATTTACAGTAAGAAGCATATCCCCAGAGGTCTCATCCAATTGGTCATATGCCAAAAGGACATGTATTGCCCCACAGTTATATCTTTGTAGAATAACTGGATATAAATCTTGTATTTCTAAATCTTGCTGAATGATGGAGAGTGTGCAAGTGATAAAAAATTCAAACTTGCCCTATAAAGGGTTAATGTGGAAAATACAATCCAAAGGAACAAGTTAAAGTTACTTGGGTGTTTGCACACATTTCAGCTAATACTGTACTTTGTCAAAACACCCCAAATCTCTCAGACTATGTCTTCTCCAAAGCTTTCTTCAGGTTTCTACAAATGTAGCTTTGAGCTGGCCCTGTTACTCCAGACTTTACATTCCTTTTTGTGAGGCCATTGTCTGGTTGACCTGGAGTGAGATAGTGAGATAGTGAGAACCCAAAATCCATATTCGTATTTGCTTTCTAACATGCATTTTAAGGTTCTGAGTAGAAACTAATAATTTGAACCATGCATGTTTTCATCCATAAAAAAATCTCCAAATACTTCTGGAAAAAATAACCTCAGTGCATATCATTGCACTATCATGCTTTACAGGGAATATTGTGTTATTTTGTTGGTGTAGGTTTGTGTTAAAAATATCACTTTAGTTTAGGCAGAAATTACTTATTGACCCAAATGGGGTCAAATCTGAGAGATTATTTTAGGACACCTTGTATTTCAGGTGAACCAGAACTGCTACAGTTAATGGTAGCCATGAACAGCAGGTGAGTGAATCTTAATGTGCTTGAGCTAAATCTTACTTTCAGGATTTAAAGCTTTTCAAGTGGTTCACAATAATCTTCTTGCATGAGTTTCGATTTTCAACAGAACTAGACAGGATGTATTGTGGAAAGTAAGAAGTGAGGTTTTCTTTTGTTTTTTGTTTTTTGTTTTTTTTTTTTTCGCATAACAAATCACTAATGGCAACAATGGAGTGCAGCCTTTTGGCAGGTTTTGCCCCAAATGGTTCATTTCACCTTTTTTTAACACAACATGACCAGCTGCCTTAAAATAGGTGAAAAATAACAAAACTGTCCACTTTTTACCTCCTATTCAGTTTGTCAAACTTTCAAAAAAACCTTCTATGTAGGAGCATTTAATGCTTCTAAAACAATTTACTACTAGGTTTTTTTTCCGTCTCAGTTTTCTTTGGTTTTTACAGTACAAGATGCCATTTAATGATCTATCAAGCATGGCAGAAACTTCAGCCAAAAAAGCTTCAGGACACAGACAGCTCTAATCATCTTGGTATTTATACTCATATTAAAAGGTGCTTAAAAGTTTTATATAAAAAATCCTTGATAACTTAAAATATTTTAATTTAGTAAACTCACAAAAATGAAGGGAAATTCATTAGAGACTTCGATGAAAGGTATCTGTCTGTAAAACAACTAAAGGCCCACTACCAACCCGCAGTTAAAAATATTACTATTTCACATCATTTTATTTTTTTTCAACTGTTTACAGTGCAGCTTTCTGAAGGTTGGTTAAAGCTGCTCAGGATATGATTGGTTTACCAACATGGTGCACCAGTTTCTATGGTGCAATATGTCCTAGAACTGCAAAGTAAAACATTTGTTTCATTTATTTCAGTGCCAGACTAATAAAGTCTATTTCACTCAGTCTTACTTACAGGCTTGATTTATCATTTTAATTGTTCAAAAAAGTTTTCTATCTTAATCAAGCTGGTTTCATTGAGTTGTTGACTTGTCATGATTAATCCTCCTGGATGAGCATTTCAGGACAATGGAGAGGAAAACTCCAATTACTCTTTATATTTGTTCTTATCTTTGGTTTCTTTACTAAGGAAGGTGGGATTTGGATATGTGAGCGTGTGCAGTGAGAACAGGAAATAAATCATGGGAAGCGATTTTAATTGTTAATGTCTGGTGTGTTTTTAAGGAGTTATTGAACTTTGATTATTTTCTACTGTATCTGTGACAGAACTGCAAGAAAAAAAAAAATACACAAAACCTGTAAAAAAATACAGCTTTTAACTCTTCTCATAAAGTAAACGCTTGACTAAAACAGGCTTTAATATTGGCAAAAGAAAAGTATGATTTGTTTAAATATTAGAATGACAGAAGAATGTGCAACAACCCCCATATTTTTTTCTTTTTTGGTTGTTATATTGAAAGGCACTGGGCCACTACAACTAAAATGACTAATTATAGTAAATAAATACTTCATCCCAAATCCGGCTCCCTAATAGGAAAGACGTGTCACTTAAAAGAAGGATCAAAGTCTGGCCGGTTTCTTTCCATCACGTCTTACAGTCTTTTTGGGCTCCTGCTTGAATGTGAGTAGTGTTGGGACATGATTGAAAAGGGCGGGTTGTGGAGTACACACCCTGCTGTTTACACATACTCGGGTGTCGTCACAGCAGCCGTAACGCTTTCCTCGGGTTTGGGGACAGATCAGCTCCTGTGGGCCCCACAGCCCTCTGGGAGTGAAACATCCCTGCAAAGGTTTTAAAAGAGCACAGTGTGGAGTGGGCTAAACACAACCCGGCTGCTAATGAACTGTCACAGAGTTCACCAGATGCCTCAACCTTCTCCTGACGAGGTGTTTAAAAAAAATAACCACAGCTCCGCAATTGTTTTCACTCATGAAAAGGGTATTGTTAGCACCACAAATTAAAGCCTGATCCCCTCCATGTTTACACCTCATTTTGGGGGCAACTAAAGGCAGTTGGGTTGCTTATTTTAAGGGTCTAATAGGAATTATAGGGCTAGAGTAAATAAAAAAAAAAAAAAGTTAAAGGGGACCATTAAGCTAATATCAGGATTTTAAGATTAAATTTGAGTTGAAAAGAAGCAAACAGTTGGAGATTATTATTATTATTATTATTATTATTATTATTATTATTATTATTATTATTATTATTATTATTATTATTATTATTATCATCAATAATACTATTTCATGCTTTCCCCTCTAATTTTAGGTAAAATATGTTAAAGTGGACTGTGCTCCTGTCTTTATGTATATGCATCACTTCTGCAGCATTTGAAAATCTTTTTGAACAATACTCCATTATGGGTAAGAGATGTAGAGTTTTTGAATTCTGAACATTTTTACTTTTTATATCAGCTTTATACAGAAACATTTTCAAGTTAAAACTGTGACCTTTTGTGAATCTTGCATAGATCCAGAGGAAGTCCTGAGTGTGACCATTCCTCTGCAGGGGAAACAGCGCCCTCTACTGGGAGACACTCTGTTGCTGCCGTGTTACTTTGAGGTAAACTTTTCTAACATTAGGAATTTTTTTAGCTCTAAATTGTATTATTCTTTTCATTTATATCTTTTGTAGAGCCAACTAGAATAGTATAGGGTAAGTATGTTGTGACATAATGCATATTCTTCATTTAAATTAGTATGACTTTGTTCTAGTATCAGACCATTAGGTCAGACCTTTACGCATGTAGGGTTACTAAGGCTATTGATTGGTGTTTGATTTCCAAATGAGAGTTGCTTTTAGTATGGGAAGAGATTCTTTCAAGGATAATTTATTCCTTGTTTGACCAAAGGAAAAACCGGAACTGTCCTTTCGCCACAAAGTTAAGCTTTCTCTTACTGCTGGATTTAGTCCACCAGGGAGTCTCCACTTATGTTTCTGTTGGACTTGGATATTATCTCAAGGCTCAGTCATGGAATGAAAGCTGTCGGGTTTGGGAACCTCAGCATCTTATCTCTGCTTTTGTAAATAAAGTGGTCTCGGTGTTTGACGGGAGTTAGTTAAGTTGGTTTGAGTGTCTCACCAGGATTCCTCTTTGGCTTCTCAGTTTGAGGGTTACTGAACACTACCCCTCGTGGACAACACCCAGGGCAGAACAATAACTCTCTCGAGAAACTTTACATCCCTTGTGATCATTCTTGAGATTTTGCACAAGTTTTACAACAACAAAATGATTCATTGGTTTACTTTGAGAATGTGCTGCTTGTGCATCCTGATCATAAATAAATATTTGGACTGTTAATTATCTTTGATTTTCTTTTGTCATATCAAGTAAGCTAAAATGTATTAATTGATAGGATCACACTATAGAAGACCCTGGTGCTCCGCCCTTTGATCCCCTATCCTATCGCATTGTTTGGAGCCATGTCACTAAAGAAAAGGTTTCGACCATCCTGGTGGCTTTGGAGGGACGAGTCCGCATCGGTGAAGATTATGTGGACAGAGTTCAACTACAGAGCTATCCCCAATACCCAACAGATGCCAGTATCGAGATTTCTGAGCTGCATTCCAGTGACACTGGGGTGTATCGCTGTGAAGTTCAGAAGCACATTGAGGATAACTACGACACTGTCGATGTCCATGTTCAAGGTACTTATTTTAAAATTCAAAGTTTCATTTTACTTTGCTTTACACTTATGCTTTTCTCTAATCAATCATAACACCTCTTATAGAAATTAGACGAGTTATGGCTGGATTTCCTTCCTTACCCTCAGTATTTTCCAACCCTTGTCTTTGTGGTAGATTTCCCTCCCACTGTTACCTGCTTCTTTACTTTAACATTCTGATTTAAATGGCACAAAACCAAAGTTACTTTTCTTATTTTTAACATCGTCATATGACATTGTTTCACCACGGTTGGATTTATTAACTTGTAGCTTTTCATCTTTCACACAGAAACAGGAAACAGAAATGTAGTTCAATCGAAGGGTGTGTAACATTGGATGGGCTGAAAATGGTATATCTACTGTTCTATGAGCCCTCATGCAAGCCTGGTTAAAAGCCCTAGAATGAAAACACAGGTTTTCTTCCTTTAATGGTATACTCATGAATATTTAGATGAGCTGTGCACTGATTGGTTGGTTTACAACTAGCGAAGCTGCTGAGCAAAGACGCATCATAGCAACAAGCACTCACTCACTGAAACATCAAATTGTTGATATGGTAGGGTGACCAGATGTCCTCTTTTTCCCAGGCATGTCCTACTTTTCATAACTAAAAAAATTTCCAGGGGGAATTTCAAAATTGTCCAGGATTTTGGTCGACTACAGTGTAGCAAGTAGTCGAACCACACTGCAACCCAGCCGGACGGGGACAGGGAGCCATCGGGGGATGGAGTGACTGAACCCGACCCGGTGACGGTAGTCTGGACACCGGCAGCCCCATGCTTACCCCATCCTGCATTACCGGCCCCCAGCCCCCCTCCTCCGGCCGAGCACGGGCGGCTTATGGCACTCTGCTGAGGTCCAGTGCAGTCAGCGGCCCTTCATAACCCGCCTCCCCAGAACCATATAAAGCACCACCTCCGAGTTTACATCAATTTGGTGCTTTGTTTGGATTCGCCTGTTTTATGGTGGAAGTTTAGAATTGGGAGATTTGCATAGAAAGGAGGTGTCGATGGGGTTTGAACTTCTCTGTATGTCTATTTCACCCACTGAACTATCGTTATTCATCTATGACAATGTAAACTCGGCTTTGCATTAAATGACCCCTTTAACACAGCGCGCTGTTCCTCATGGGAAATGCTGTTTTCCTTAAGACAAAACAATACAGCTTTTTTCCTGTGGGGGAAGCTAAAATCGACCAAAACTGAAAGTTTTTTTTAGAACTAGAAAAGATACTAGAACTGGGAGCCATTGATCCAAACTGTGAAAGACTGCAGCAATCCTTCATGATCACTGACTTACAAGTTAAACTCCTCTTACAATAAACTCAAGCAGTCTGAGTTGGAAGAAATTCCAACAATCCTTCCAAAAGTACAATTTTGTCATCAATATGGTAACAACACATTAGCACAGAATGATCTTTAAGACTAGATCTGAATGGCCATGCTTATAAAGGCCCTTCTTTATCGCACTCTGTAAAGACAGATATGATACCATTGTCTGAGCAGGGATTGTTTGTCCTCTATCATTTATAAGTCTAACAAAACACGTCCCAAAATGTCATAGGACCTTCCTTAAGATTCTATTCTTGGATCATCTTTATTCAGTATGTATGATATTTCTTGTTCAAATGAAAGAACATTCAACATTGTATACCATAAACATGACACTATCGTTTCAGAGTGTCTATAATATCTGCGCTTAAGTATTGAATGATATAACATAGTGGTTCTATAAAGACTGTGTTCTAACCAATACCAATACCCAACACCGTTGCTGTGGCATTCCCTCCTCCTTGTTAATAAGAAATAGGGACCAAGTCTAGTTTTGATGAATGACTTGGCAAAACATATATATTTTTAAAGCCCAAACAGAAAGTCAGATAAGGAGAGATAATGGATTTGGTTCATTTCATAATGAGAGGACGGGCTGCCCGGATGCATAAAAGGGTCCTACACACTTCCAGTGTTTATTGTTACATGGTGCTATTTGAGACAGATGATGGAGCAGACGTGGAACTTGGTCTGTGTTAAGGGGGGTTAGGTCTTTCCAGTTCCACAACTAAGCAAAGGAGGCAGGTTTTAATTTCTATGTTCCTCAGGTCTGGAACAGAATCCATGAAGAGCTGGATTATGACTCTTGCAAATCATGACTTCATGCTTCGTTGTTTTTACTGAATGTGTAAAATTTAATGTAATTACTTTAAATTTGCTTAAAGTTTCATTGCATATAAAAATTGCATGCATGCAATTGCATTGCTTGTACAAATAAAATTTGCCTTGCCTTAATCTGTTTAGGTATTGTGTTCCACTACCGGGCTGTAATGGGCCGCTACGCTTTGACCTTTGAGCAAGCAAAGGTAGCATGTGCCATGAACAGTGCAGTCATTGCTTCTCCTGAGCAACTTCAAGCAGCATTTGATGATGGCTTCCACCAGTGTGATGCTGGCTGGTTGTCTGATCAAACAGTGAGGTGAGTTAGTTAAATTATGAGCATCAATAGTTGGTGTTTCATTTTAATTTGAGAATTTCTGATACATTCTTACATCTGCTCTACCAGATTTAACAGTATAATAAATTTGGATCTAGTTTGGATCTGATCGATTATATTTTTTAAATATAAAATACTTCATTATGTTTAATAGTTATAACTTCTGTGAGCAGAGAAATGATATCTAAAGATATATTTTTTAAGATTCTAACTTTGATGCTAAAAATACTTTTTGTTTAACCAAAGGTATCCTATTCATGAACCCCGTATGAACTGCTATGGGGACAAAGAAGAGCTTCCTGGTGTCAGGACCTATGGAGTAAGAGACCTCAATGAGACATATGATGCTTACTGCTTCGCAGATAGGATGACAGGTACCTTATTAAGGTTTACTGCAGTATCTTTGGGTTTTTCAACTTATTTTCAAACTAAACTTTCTTGTTTGGAACAGGCAGAGTTTTCCACACAACTTCTGCTGAGAAGTTTACATGTTCTGAGGCTGAGTTTGCGTGCTCACACCAGGGAGCTCAGCTAGCCACCACAGGTCAGCTGTACCTTGCATGGCAGGGGGGTATGGATGTCTGCAACGCTGGCTGGCTGGCAGATGGGAGCGTCCGCTACCCCATCAACATTCGGCGACCGCAGTGTGGAGGGGGTCTACTGGGGGTCCGAACTGTTCATCTACACACAAACCAGACAGGATATCCACATCCTAACTCCCGCTATGATGCCTTCTGTTACACTGGTACAGTACGCCAAGACTCTTCCAACATGAAGCTATTGAAATTATCCTAGAGGGAAATGCAAGAACTGGCCTTTCAGTTGTCAACTTATAGGCAAGAAATGTTCTCAATAAGAGGCTGTTTGTGTGGAAATATACATAAAACATTTATAATAGCTTTCTAATTGTTTAAGGTTATTTTTAAACTAGTTCTCTGGTTTAACACTTAGACTCAACAGTTTCTGTCGGAGATGCGATTGTACCTTTTGGTAAAAGTTTTGACTAGAACAAGTCCAATATATGGACTAATATAAGGACTGGATGCTGTTAAACACTAATGCTGTACTTCCTAATACATTGCTCTACCCGCAGCCTTCGAACAGTTGCACCTCTGTGCTGGAATCAAGCAACTGTGAGTAATAATAATAATAAAAAAAAACTAATGTAGAACCACATCTGCTAAAGAGGGGTTCTGCCAAATAAAGTTGAGCTCAAAGCTAAACATTTCACACAAAAAAAAGGAACCTCTATCAAATAATATAAGTAAAACAAAAACGCTGTAAATTCAATACAGTAAATTAAAACTTGGCAATGTTCATCTTTGTTATTGTAAACATTTCTGTATAAGTTGAACTGCCTTTATCATAAATAAAAAGATGACTAGCTCATTTTATTTTCTTTATGTTATTTGTAATTATTAAATGAATATTTTTTATTCCATGGCAATGTATTAAAGACGTCTTGAAATTATTTTGTGTTAAACTAACAAATCATACAAAATCATGCTGCAAAAAAGTCAGTCATAGTGATTCTTATTTGTAATGTGGTATGCAGCTGTGGCTGGCTATCATGAGCAATATAAAAAGTGCTTGTCAACTTTGCGAAAATACAAGTGCTGGGCGCAGCTCATGGCACGGTTGCCCCTCCCTCTCAAGGTTTATCTCATTAATTCAGAAAAACAGAAATTTTTTTATTTTTTTAATAAAAAGTTATCTTGTTAATTCCGACAACCAGAATGTTTTTGTTTACAGAAAAACAGACCAATTTTCTTTTTTTCTAGGGTGAACACAATACACTTTCATAGCAGACAGATGCAAATTTAATATATAAACATATGGTTGGTGTAGGCCTAATCGTGTAGTTGTTTAAAATAGAAGAAAGTGTTACACCCGTTCCCAGTCTCCCCTAATTACACTTCCTTTACAGTTAGACTATTTAAAGACATTTGGTTTCCCTGCTTGGTTTGAGGTTTATAAATGTTTGTGTCTGAGAGCAACTGTTTCTCACAGAGATAAATTCAGGAAGTGAAGGTTCCAGCAACATTTATGCACAGGCATCACTGGCTGAGATGGAAACCAATGTGCTGATTTACCAAACATGGGTAAAACAAGCACTTTCAGAGCTGTTGTTTCAGTGCTGAAGGTTGTCTCTGAGACTTTGACATAATTTTAAAACTATTTGAGCTGAGCTGTTCTAATTTCAAAACAAACAGTCTCTGGCAGTGATCAAGACCAAGACAGGTCCCTGGCATCCATCTGGTATAATCTAATAACAACTATGCCTCTGGTTTTAGTGCTATTAACTCATGACCTCTAATGAATATACCGTAAAGATATATAATAATAGATAAACATAAAACACTTTCTTTGTACCACTTGCTGTTTGTTTACTATTTGGTGCTTAATTACTTTCTGTCAATATATATTTCATGTGATTCTGTTATTGAATTCAGGGATTATTTTAAAGTTCTAAGATAATCTCTGTTTTTTTTTTTCTCCTCTTTGGTTACTGTTTCTTTTACCCTGTTTTTTTTTTTTTTCAGAATCCCCAGATGATGAGGGTTCAGGCATAGAAGGGGGAAACGATGTTCTGATTGTAACCACAGAGACAAAAAATCCAGAGGTGCTTTTGGGTAAGACGACCACAGAGACCGAAGCGGTTGGGGAGGTCGTAACTCTGGAACCGTTTGATCTGAACTCCACCTACAGTGAAAGCCCCACCAAGCTGCCAACTCCTCAGCTAACAAATGTCACAGAGATCTCCTTTGACCTGATTAAGGCTGTCACCAACCAGCCAGCTGTCGCCAGAGAGCCCAGCAATCCCTCTGTCAACTCTTCATCAGGTCAGGATGATAAATCCAGAAATAAAACCATAATCTCTTAAGGTCCAAGAAACTACAAGAACTTTAGAAACTTTTCTAAACTATTTCAAGAGCTCCTTAAATGTCAAAGATAATATAGAGATGTTGTAAAAAAGTGGAGTAAACTTAAACTGGAAATGAAACACTTTTTCAAACTAACTTAATTCATTATATTGTGTCTTACTCTTAATTAGTGAAACTGTGAAATTTATAAGTATAAAAGATAATTTTTTGGCAAGGTTACTGCCATGTTGCAGTACTCCAAGCGGTGATGTCACAGGGTTGGTTGATGCCTTCGCCAGCAGTTGAATACACTGATAATACCTCAATACCTCACAACCAAAAAACACCTAAGAAATTGGGTATGAAGGAAGATGAGGCTGAAAGGAGACTGAAGTATTTGAATAACATTGTTTATGCTTTTGAGCCCATTCACAGTGTGACTAGAGCCATAGTACGGAGAGAAGGAGCAGCTGTGGAGCAATGGCTCTGACCATCCCTGCTACTAGACAGAACACCGGTTGTAGAGATTATGTAAAGCAGAAGACTTTTGAGCATGGCGAGTTGGCGGCCCATTGGACGGCTGGCTAAAGTCGGAAGTGTTTTTAATTTCACATCTAGAAGCTCGGCTCTACTGATCGGCCAACACACTGAAAGCGGGTCATCAGCAACAATCAGCCGTAATGACAGTATGAAAACATGCTAAGCATGCAGAACAGAGACATGTGAAGCTGTGTTGGCAGATATTTAATTATCAACTATACCCAAACTTCCTAAAAATGATAAAACATTGCTTTGTTTTTTCTTTTGTTTATGTTCTTCGCATTTATGAAATATTTATTGATAATAGTAAGACACAATCTTATTAATAAAGTTAGTTTCGTTAACTGCTTCATTTTTATTTTAAGTGTCGTGCTTCAGATTCTGAAATAAAGTCAACTATATGCTATCTCCCTAATAACTGTCCTCTTATAAACCTTAGGTGTTGTCTTTCATCATCGCTCACCTACTGGGAGTTATGCCTTCACATTCGTCGAGGCCCAGTTAGCTTGCCAAGGTGTTGGAGGCTTAATAGCAACACCACAGCAGCTACAGGAAGCTTATGAGGCTGGATATCATCAATGTGAAGCAGGTTGGCTTCTGGACCAGACTGTGAGGTAAACATAAAGAGGGGTTTTTGATATACTAAATTTAATTATTTTCAGCCACTTAACGAGAACTATGTTCCTTCATAGATATCCCATTGCGTTTACTCAAGAAAAGTGTGCTGGAGACCTTCAAGATTCTCCTGGAGTTCGGACATATGGCCGTAGACCAGCAGATGAGAGATATGATGTTTACTGCTACACTGAGGGGAACAAAGGTGATTCTTGATGAAAGCCCTACCAACTACTTTTCAATCCCAACACACTACAGTATATAACCAACAGTTTTTTTTTTTGCCCTGCTGCAAAGGAGAGGTTTTCCATGTGGGTTCTGCTGAGGGTTTCACCTACGATGAGGCTATTTCTGCTTGCGAAAACCAAAGCGCAGTGCTGGCCTCAACTGCTGAGCTTTATGCAGCATGGAAAAACGGTTTGGACAAGTGTCGTGCAGGCTGGCTACTAGATCACAGTGTTCGCTATCCTATCAACAGCCCCCGCCCTGGATGTGGAGGGGGAAGAGTAGGGGTCCACACTTACTACTCAAAGCCAAACCAGACATACTATCCCGAACCACATGCCAGATTTGATGCATATTGTTTGAGAGGTAAATCACTGTTCACTCTCATTCTGAATATCTTCGATATTTTTAAAGTGGGAGATTCATTTTTTCTTCTTACTGGTTTATTATTTGCAGCTGACTTTCTGCCTGGAGCAAATCAAACTGCAGTAGAGATCCAGAAAACTCTACCTAATGTGACGTCAGTTAGAGACTCATCAAGGCCCGGTAAATCCAAATAATAGGTTCCTTTTTCTTTTCTTTTTCTTTTTACCCATCACCCTTAAAGTGTTTATTTCAGTTTTTTTTTTCTATTTCTTTTTTTAGATTTTTCCTCTATTGTTCCTCCCATCCCTGTGGAAATTTCTGGTTCTGGCTCTGGTTCAGGAGACTTTGATTCAGGCCATGAAGGAGGACAGTCTGGAGAAAAGCATATCTCTAAAGACCAGGTTACCTCTGGAGATCTGCCTGGTTCTGGAGACCAGGTTACCTCTGGAGGTATTTCTGGTTCTGGAGACCAGGTTACCTCTGGAGATCAGACTGGTTCTGGA